CGGCGGCTGTTGGGCCGCAGCCCAGACCCAAAGCCGCCCACTTCCTCCCGGGGCCTCCCCGGCCGAAGGGGACGCGTCCTCTGGGCACTGGGCCTGGCTGGGCCTCCTTGTCCACCCTCCCTTCCCCCCACCAGGTTCTACCAGCTCGTAGCTCCTAACCCGGGGTCCCCCATGAAAGCGCCCCAGCCTGGCTTTGCGGGGGTGGGGGGCGGGTGCAGGGACAGCGTGTTGGGGGGGTCACCGTCCGTGGCTCATGAGGGCCCAGCAAGTGGTCAGGAGTGACTGGGTGCAGGTTTCCCAGGAACCGAGCAGGGGGGAGAGAGGGGGCCAGGCCGACCCTCCCAGGCAAGGCTGGGAGGTCAGGGGGCCAGGGCAGGGGAGGAGGGACCTGGGAGCCAGACAGAAACCCCAGTGCGACCAGGCCCTTCGGCATTAAGAGAGTGGGGCCCCCACACTCCCCCCACATCTGCTATGAGGGGCGGCTGGCGGCCCGTGGCGGCTGCGTTTTGGTCTGAAACAAGGGTGGGGAACGTCGGGCCCGCGGGCCGCAGGGGGCCTGCAGATCCACCCGGTCTAGCCCCACCCAGGCTGCGGTGAGTCCGTGAAATGCTTGGCCCAGGGGAGCAGGCTCGTGTCCAGGTGGGTAACTCTAAATGGCCCCCCAGGGATGCGACAAATGTCCCGACGGCCCTTAGAGAGAACAGGCTCCCCACCCCCGACCTCTCCCCCCTCGGGGTCACCTACCCTAACCGACCGACCGTGGGGTGAGGAGCCGCAGCCTGGAGTGGGGCGGGGAGGGGACCCCCGTCCACCTGTCCGTCCGCCCACAGAATGACGAGGAGGCCATGGTGGAGGCGGTGGCCCTGTACAACCCCGTGAGCTTTGCCTTCGAGGTGACCGGCGACTTCATGCAGTACCGCAAGGGCATCTACTCCAGGTGAGGCCGCCCTCCTCCCACCGCCCCCTGCACCGCCCAGACCAGGGGTCCTCAAACCTTTTCAACAGGGGCCAGTTCACTGTCCCTCAGACCGTGGGAGGGCCCGACTATAGTTTAAAAAAAAAACTGAACCAATGCCTATGCACGCTGCACAGATCTTATTTGGAAGTAAAAAAGCAAAACGGGAACAAATACAGTATTTGTATTTGCAGGTGGCCCGCGGGCCGTAGTTTGAGGACCCCTGGTCCAGACGCTGATGGGGTGGGGGGGTCGGGCCCAGGCCCAGCGCGTGCCAGGAACGCAGTTACACGTCAGCTGAACTAACACAGGGCCCCACAGCCTGTCGGAACGTCTTTTTTATTTTTTTAATTGACGTCAGAGAGGAAGGGAGAGGGAGAGAGGGAGAGGAACATCCATGATGAGAGAGGATCAGGGACCGGCTGCCTCCTGCACGCCCCCCACTGGGGATGGAGCCCGCAACCCGGGCCTGTGCCCTGACCGGGAATCGAACCCGGGACCCGTCAGTCCGCAGGCTGGCGCTCTATCCGCTGAGCCACACCGGCCCTTTCTTGATGGAAACTAGTTCACTGTGGTCACGGGAGCCTGTTGTTGGCTTGAAACAAGCACCAGGGCGGCCAAGCCCTTGCACAGGGAGCCCTTCTGCCCTCTCCTGACAGAAGGCTGAGGGCGGGGCCGGGCATTGGCAAAGAAGGGTCGCTCGCAGGGCCCAGCTCCAGTCACGATGCAGGACAATGACGGGAAAATTTGCTGAGGGACAAGGAATTGCTCGCTGGCACCAGGGCTTCATTCTTGT